CTTCCTAGGCATACATTCAGGTTTTCTTGCGTGCTTGAGATTGCTGATAAGTTCAGCACCATAGCATTTACTTCATTGTTTCGATATAGAAAAATCAATGTATATTCATTCTATTTCTTTTACTTATCGATTAAATTTGTTATAATGTGCGACGCACAACAAGATTAATCCATGTATTTGTACTTCCAGCAATTTCAACACTCATAGATTCGAGAAATCATCGCGAGTTTTTTACTTTTTACAGCTCAATTTCTTCAATAAGGAAAGGTTCGAAAAGTTCCTTTTTTAAAAAAGCGAACATTTATAGAATACTTCTATCTTTTAAAAATGCTATTCTGATAATTCTTCTTTAGCAAGAAAGAACAAGAGAAGAAGATTGTTTTTCTCGAAGCAAAAAAAAAACTACAAAGCCCTTCTGCTGTAAAATCCGCCTTAAAACTTTCTGCAAGCTAGCAAAGCCCGTTAAAATTATGGTTTCCTCCGCAAAAACTGCAACATGAACAACTCCATTTCACGCATTTACACCTTCTTTTTACTTCAAAACGATGTTGTAACACATGTTTTAGACTTTTAACGAGGTTGGCTCCTCGCTTCTAAGCCAAAACGACAAGTATAGTGCAGTAGATTGAAATAAAACTGGATAAAAGTAGTTGAAAGGCATTAGAGGCCGATCTCGGGTCAAGCGTTATAAAATTGTAGACTTCGCTCGTTTATTTGAAACTATAACTAATTCGCTTAGTTGTGCAAATATCAGCATTACCCATCTACCTATTAAAGTGTACATTAGGTTAGGAAATGAGCAAGTGATTTTTCCTGCACAAGCCGTGATAGGAAAAAAAACTTTGACCGCTGTTTTTTTATATTTATCGGAGGAGGTAGCCCCAAAAAGATGGAGGTTCCCTGAAATAAAATCTATTTCTGCGTTTTTTTTTTTGCAAATGGTGTCCATAAAAATTATGTAGGCAAATTAGGTTCTTAACTGGGCCGACTACAGAATGCGTATTAAAAAAACCTAAAATCAAACGACAGATTAAACATTGTTTGATTTATTTCACCTCCAAGTATCAAACCATATTTT